TTTCTTCCTCCAGTTCATTTTACAAATGAGGAAATCGAGGCAAACAGGGTTAAGTGACTTGCCCAGGGTTACACAGCTAGTAAGTGTCAGGTCAGATTTGAACTCATGGAGATGAGTCTTCCTGACTCCTGGCCCTAGTGGTAGAAGGATAGGGAGAGACACCGGGTCATCTACATTTCAGCCAACTTGCTGATCCTCAGACACAATATTCCATCTCTCATCTCCACGCTTTTGCACAAGCTTTCCCTCTTATGTAGAATGCACTCCCTTGTCCCTTCTTCCTTGTAGAATCCTTAGCTTCCTTCAAAGCCCAGCTCATGAGCCATCTTTTACTGAGGACTTTCTTGGTCCTTGTTGCTGTAGGGACCTCACCCTGAAAGTCCAAAACGAGCATAGTCAGGTGAGGATGAGGAGCTGTATGAGAAGGCAGATCACAGGCTCCTAACAAATGCTTGTTGAGGGGGCAGAGCCAAAATGGAAGAGAAAAGGGAGCAAACCCCCAGAGCTCTCCCCCAAACCCTTCCAAACACCTTTAAATAGTCATAAAACAATTCCTGGAGCAGCAGAACCCACAAAAGGATGGGGATGAAATAATTTTCCAGCCAAAGACAACTTAGAAGGTCGGCAGGAAAAGTCTGCCGTACCTGGGTGAGAGTGGAGTTCAGTCCAGTGCAGACTGTGCCAGTAGAGCCCCAACCACAGCAGACCAGGGGCAGATCTTGGGAGGGACTGAATCAGCAGCAGTGATAGCAGCGGCAGTGGCTGCTTCCAGAGCTCTCAGCCCACAGAAAATAAAGGAGTCAAAGTACTGGTCAGGAGATTACAGGGGTTTCTTTGTTAGCACTGAGGCAGAACTCTGTTGCTTTGCCCATACTTGGATCCAGGTTGCAGTCCTGGGCGGCAGTCCCAGGGCAAAGAGGAACACTAGCACATCCAAGCTTGCAGCCATAGTGGAAGGGGGACCCTCATCACAGTTCCAGGACAGAAAAGAGTGCTTTCAGCTGCTCACAGATGAGAGCACAGGCCAGGAGAATAGTAATCACACCTCTCCTTAGATCAGACCACCTTGGAAGAACTAAAAACTTCAAGGTCCCTGGAAGTATCTCTGAAAACAACTGCACAAAATCCCTGAAGCTTGGTATAGTGCACTCTCCACCTTGGAAGCAGAGCCCTACTTTAACAAAGGGTTAACATCAAGAAACAGGCTGGGAAGATGAATTTTTTCAGAATTTTCAGTTGAAAAAAGTTCTGACCATAGTAAGTTACTATGGTGACAGAAAAGATCAAAATACACACTCAGAAAAAGAAAACAAAGTCAGCCTTCCTATATCCAAAGCCTCCAAGACAAATATGAATTGGTCTCAGACCATGAAAAAGCTTGAAAAAGTTTTTAAAATTAAGTAAGAGAGGTAGAGGAAAAATTGGGAAGAAAAATGAGAGTGATGCAAGATAGTCATGAAAAGCAAGTCAACTGCTCGGTAAAGGAGACAAAGTAATACTGAAGAAAATAATACCTTAAAAAAAGACTAGGCCAGGGCAGCTAGGTGGAGCAATGGGTAGAGCGCCAGCCCTGAAGTCAGAAGGACCTGAGTTCAAATCCGGCCTCAGACCAAACATTTGACACTAGCTGTGTGACCCTGGGCAAGTCACTTAACCCCAATTGCCAAAAGGAAAAAAAAAAGGCTAGGCCAAATGGTAAAAGAGGTACAAAAAGCCAATGAGGACAAGAATGCCTTAAAAAGCAGAATTGGCCAAATGGAAAAAGAGACATGGAGAGGATTCTGGGAAGATGTGGGAGTAGGTCAGAAAATTCCATGCTCTCCAGATTTCCCCCACAAATGAGATAAAATAGCACCTCAGGGCTAACATAGAACAGTAAAAATAAGTAAGAGTAGGGGCAGAACAGATTGTCCTCCTGGGACAATTGGATATGATCCGAAGAAAAATCCCACCATGAGGTGTGGTATCTGTGAAGAATAAACACCTCCAGGTGGTTCTGCTTAAACAGCAAGTGGTGAGCCCTGGGGTTAGCTGGATTGGGAGGCTGCCTTGGCCCCAGCCACAGGAATTTTTACCCCTGGGACAGTGAGGGGAGTTGGCCATCTGAGCCAGGGAAGGTTGAGGGAAGCTTTGCTGACCAGGAATGCCAGACCCAGCTGTGCTGTAGAGCTGTGGTTCTAGGTGAAAAGGAATCAGCTCATTCCCCATGAGTGCAGAAGCAGTGGGGTAGGGATGCTGCTGGTTATGAGAAATTACTGGAGGTTAGAGGTCTTGGTTTCAGTTTCAGGCCAGAGGGGAGAACTGAAGGAGGAGCTGAGGCCATCCCCCATATCCCAGGGCTAGAGGTGATTACAAAAAATAAGCTGCTACAAATAAAAAAATGCACAGGCAAAGGAAAAAAAAATCAGCCATAGAAGTTACTATGAGAATAGGGAAGAATGGGGCTTGTCTTCCTTTAGAGGAGGATATTGAAGCAAAGGAACCCTCTTCTATTCCAAAGAGTAATGTCAAATGGTCACCTGCCCAAAAAGAATTCATAGAAGAACTTTAAAAAGACTTTAAAAATCAAATGAGAGAAGTTGAGGAAAAACTTAAAAAAAAATAAGAACAATCCAAGAAAAACAAGAAGATTATGAAAAGAAAGTTCAACCAATTAGAAAAGGAGATTAAGAATCTTAAGGAAGAAAATGACTCCTTGAAAATCAGAATTGGGCAAGGGGAAGCCAGCGAAGTCAAAGGAGATCAAGAAATAACAAAACAAATTATAAATAATGAAAAGATAGAAGAAAATGTAAAACATTTCATAAGAAAAACAACTGATCTAGAGAACAGATCAAGAAGAGGAAAAATAAGAATAATCAGACTACCTGACAGTTATGATCAAAAAAAGAATCTTGAACCAATAATACAAGAAATAATTAAAGAAAATTGTTCTGAAGCATGAGAATAAGAAAGGAAAGCAGAAATAGAAAAAAAAAATCCACCATTCACCACCTGAAAGAGATCCTATGAGGAGAAACCCACAAGAATATCATAGTCAAATTCCAAAACCCCAAGTTCAAGGATAAAATATTACAAGTAACAAGAAAAAAAGAATTTAAATATGGCAGTGCCACAATTAGAATCACACAAGATCTAGCAGCAGTGACACTAAAAGACCACAGGTCTTGGAAGACTATATGTCGAAGAACAAACAAACTGAGATTCCAACTGAAAATATACCCAGCAAAGTTAAGCATAATCTTGAATGAAAAAGAAAAGGATATTTAATGAATTGTCAGACTTTCAAGATTTTGTTTAAAAAAACCTAAACTTAATAGAAGATTTGAAATACAATATCCAAGAGAAATATAAGGTACATACCAAAGATTAATTATAAGGGACTCAAGAAAGACAGTTTACCTTTATTTATGAGGAAATGTAAAATGTATATCTAAGATTGTTATTAGTAATTGGGTAGTTAATAAGAAAAATTAATAAGATTACTAAGAAAATTAATAAGAAAGAAAGACCTGAGTATAATATGATTTAAAAAATAAAACCATTTAGTAATAGCTAAAAAAAGTAATTATATTATACAAAAGGTATGAGGGGAGGAACTGACACAAAGGAATTAGATGGAGGAGGAGGGCTGGTAATTCTGGAAACTTTCATTGGGAATGGGTTCAAAAGGTAACAATACATATATATCAAGAAGAGGATAAAAGTCTTCTAAATTCAGAAAGAAATAAAATGTTAAGGGGATAGGGATGGGGAGAGGATAAGGGAGGGATCTCTAGAGGGAAAGGTGAGAGAATAGGTTAAAGGAGGGTATAGAAGGGTGTTTAGATTGAGAATGGGAGGATATGAGAGGGACCCTTGGAGGTGGTGTAGGTTAAGTAATAGGAGGGCAATGTAGTGGGTAGGAATAAAGTAAAGGAGTTAGGGGATATAGGAATTAGGAGATATGCACAAATAGAAAATAAAGCTCAGGAGCAGAATTTGTTAGGGAAAAAGGAGCAAGGGTGGTAATTGTGATCTTAGACAAAGTTAAGGTTAAAATGGATTTAATCAAAAGAGAATACTAGGGAAACTACACTTCATGTCAGGTATATTCATCAATGTTATTTTGGACTATTTAAAACAACTAGACAATACAAAGTTGGAATATTGCTGTGGTGTAGGAAATGATGAGTTGGTAGGCTTGGAAAAATATAGAAAGACTTAGGAAGGAAGAGGTTATCTACTCTCAAAGAAACAGAGGACAAATAAGTATAGTTCAGTCTTATATAGATACATATGAATGTATGTGTCTATATACAAGTATGATTATAGATTTCTAAGTGTATGTATGTATGTATAGCTACGTATGAATACATATATTTGTATATCTTTGTGTGTATGTCTATATGTCTATATATATATACATATATGTGTATGTATGCATATATATGTAAATACATCCATGCTTAATTGTAGCCTTGTAGTGGGGGGCGGGGAGGAAGAGGAAAAAAGAACAAAGGAAAAAGTGACCAGTAGAGAACAAAAGAAAACTTACAAGGAAGCAAAGAAAAGATATACAGCTCTCACCACAATGCTTAGTATTTACTTTATAGGCTTTCTTTAAATAGAAATGTATTGCTGAATATTTTGAATCCTTTCTCATGTTCTGCTGTGCACATTGCAAAAAGACGCACAAAAATTCACTGAAGAAAAAAGCTCCTTAGAAAGTAGAATTGGCCAAATGGAAAAGGAGGTATAAAAGTTTACTGAAGAAAATAATTTCTTAAAAATTAGAATTGAGCAAATGGAAGCAAATGACTTCACGAGAAATCAAGAAACAATAAAACAAAACCAAGAGAATAAAAAAAAGAAGACAATGTGCAACATCTCATTGGAAAAACAACTTACTTGAAAAATAGATTCAGAAAGAGAATTTAAAAATTATTGGACTACCTGAAAGCCATGTTAAAAAAAGAGCCTAGACATCATCTTTCAAGAAATTATCAAGGACAGAGTCCATGCACAGTGAGACCAGAGCTGCAGGTGCTGGTGGCCAAGGGCATCCGAGAACCACGATCGAGGTCGTGTGCAACTACCGACTGGGCAAGAAGGTTTGTGTGAAGCACAACCCCAAATACTCTATAGGAGGCCTAAAGAAACTGATTGTGGCCCAGATGGGCACACCTTGGAACAAAATCATCCTGAAGAAATGGTACATGGTCTTCAAGGACCACGTGATGCTAGGGGACCATGAAATCCATGATGGAACAGATCTAGAGCTCTATTACCAATAGAGGATGACCAATGTCCTGGTGCCCAGATCTGCATCTATTTCCTCCTTTTTTTTTTTAAATATAAAAGGCTAATAAAATAACTTTTAAAAAAGAGCAAAGTTAATAGAGCAGCTTCCATTGGGTTTCCAGTGGCCCTAAAGTACAGACACATGGTGAAAGTGCTTTAGAAATCAACCAATCATAGATTCAGAGAAACTAGGCAAGACTTGTTTGAACTGCTGCCAAGTGAAGTGAGCTGCGACAGAAGAACAATTTATACAATAAAAAACAATATTGTAAAGACAAGCAACTCTGCAAGACTTAGAAACTTTGATCAATACCATAACAGATCACAATGACAGAGGACACAGGATAAAACAGTACTGCTCACCTCCAGAAAGGGAGGTGATGGACTTAATGTGGAGATAGAGGCATAGTTCTTATTTCTTTTTTAATGTGACCAATGCAGAAATTTGTTTTGCTTGACCATACGTGTTTGTAATATGGCTTTGTTTTCCCTTGATTTCTCAGTGAGGAAGGAAGTAAAGGTGAGAAAGACAATTCATAATTGAAAATAAAATGTAATTTAAAAAATAAAAAAAAAGAAATTATCAAGGAAAACTGCCCTGATATTCTAGAACCAGAGGGTAAAATAAAAATTGAAAGAATCCATGAATCACCCCCTGAAAGAGATCCCAAAGTGAAAACTCCCAGGAATATTATAGCCACATCCCAGAGTTCCCAGGTCAAGGAGAAAATATCACAAGCAACCAGAAAGAAACAATTCAAGTATCATTAAGCCATAGTCAAGATACCACAAGATTTAGCAGCTTATGCACGAAAAGATCAGAGGGCTTGGAATATGATATTCCAGAAGGCAAAGGAGCTTGAATTGCAACTAAGAATCACCAACCCAGCAAAACTGAGTATAATCCTTCAAGGTAAAAAAATGGATATTCAATGAAATGAAGGACTTTCAAACATTCTTGATGAAAAGACCAGAGCTGAATAGAAAATTTGATTTTCAAATACAGGACTCAAGAGAAGCATAAAAAGGTAAGCAGGAAAGGGAAATTATAAGGGACTTAATAAGGCTAAACTGTCTACATTCCTACATGGGAAGATGATACTTGTAACCCATAAGAACTGTCTTGTTATTAGCATGGTTAGAAGGAGTATATATAGACCGAGGACACAGGTGTGAGTGGAACATGAAAGGATGATATCTAAAAAAAAATACAATTAAGGGGTGAGAGAGGAATGTCCTGGGAGAAAGGGAAAGGGAGAGGTAAAATGAGGTAAATCATCTCAAATAAAAGAGGCAAGAAAAAGCTTTTGCAGTTGCTGGGAAGAGGAGGAAGGTGAGGGGGAGTGAGTGAACCTTATTCTCATCAGAAGTGGCTCAAAGAGGGAATAACGTACACACTTAATTAGGTATAGAAATCTATCTTACCCTATAGGGAAGTAGGAGGGGAAAGGGATAAAAGAAGGGGGAATGATAAGAAAGAGGGTAGATTGAGGGAGGGGATAGTCAGATGCAAAGGGTGAAAGGAGAGAGAAAATAGAATGGTGGGGGGATGGAATGAAGGGAAAGACAGAAATAATAACTGTGAAAAAACTTTGATGTCAGTTTCTCTGATAAAGGCCTCATTTCTCAAAAATATAGAGAACTGAATCACTCTCAGTTTTTCCTCTACTTCTCTTACTTGCTTCTCAAAATCCCTTTTGAGCTCTTCCAAGGCCTGGGACTGAATCATATTTTTCTTGGAGGCTTTGGATGTAGGAGCTTTGACTTTGTTGTCTTCTTCTGGTTGTATGTTTTGATCTTCTTTGTCACCAAAGTAAGATAATATAGTCTGACTCTTTTTGTGCTGCTTACTCATGATCCCGGCCAATTACTTGAGTTCTAAATTCTTTGTTAAGGTAAGAGTCTGCTTCCAATGTGAAGAGTGTGCTGTCCCAAGCTTTGGGGGTTTGTACAGCTGTTATCAGAGCTACTTCTAGGGATCTGAAAATTTTCAGTTCTTCCAAGGTGCTGTGATAAGGGACGAGGTGTTTCCTCTCCACAGCCGCAACAAGCTCCACAACGCCAGCGCTCCTCCTCGCCCCAGGACCACCCCTCAGAACTGTGACCCAGATCCAAGCACCGGTAAAGCAAGAGATTCCTGCCTCAGCACTGGCAAAGAGATCCTTGCAATAACCCTCTGATCAGCCACTTGATTCCCCCTCAGTCTGTGGGCCAGAAGCTCAGGAAAAAGCCGCGGCCCTAGGCCTCTCTCGAGACTTGCGACTGAGACCTAACTTCTCTCTCACTGCAGTCACAGACTTTTCCCACTGACCTTCCAAGTTGTCTTTGGCATTCAGGGGTTGAGAAGTCTGGAAACCGCCACAGCTGTCTGTGATTCAGTCCTCTGAGGCCTGCTCCAGGGTCGCTGCTGCCTGCGTGCCCACACCAAACTGAGCTCCTCTCCCTGACCGGCATGATATACCTTTCCGATCAACCATCCAGGCTGTCTTTGGCAGGAAATTTGTTTCTCTCTGTCCTTTTGTGGGTTCTGCTGCTTTAGAATTTGTTTAGAGCCATTTTTTTAGGTATTTGGAGGGCTTTGGGAGAGAGCTCAAGACAATCACTGCTTTCCCTCTGCCATCTTGGCTCCACCCTAGAGAACTGAATCAAATTTATAAAAGTAAGAGCCATTCTCCAATTGATAAATGATCAAAAGACATTAACAGTTTTCAAATGAAGAAACCAAAGCTATCTATAGACATATAAAAATGCTCTAATTTACTATTGATGGGAGAAATGCAAATTAAAGCAATTCTGAAGTACTACTTCATTCCTATTAGATTGGCTAATGGGACAGAAAAGAAAAATAACAAATGTTGTTGAGATGTGGAAAAAATGAGACTTTAATGCACTCTTGGTGGAGTTGTGAACTGATTCAACCATTCTGTAGAGCAATTTGGAACTATGTCCAAAGGGCTATAAAATCATGCATACCCTTTCACCGAGCAATACCACTACCAGGTCTGTATCCTAAAATAGATTAAGAAAAGGAAAAGGACCCATATTTACAAAAATATTTATAGTAGCTCTTTTATGATGTCAAGGAATTGGAAATTGAGGGGATGTCCATCAACTGGGGAATGGCTGAACAAATTGTGGTATGTGATTATGATGGAATACTATTATGCTATAAGAAATGATGAGAAGGATGCTCTCAGAGAAACCTAGAAAGACTTACATGAGCTGATGCAAAGTGAAATGTATTGTGTATAAAGTAACAGCAATACTGTGTGATGACCAGCTGTGAATGATTTAGCTATTCTCAGCAATATAATGAGCCAAGACAACTCTGAAGGACTTATGATGAAAAATGCTGTGCATCCTCAGACAAAGAACTGATGGTGTCTGAAAACAGATTGAAGCATACTTTTTTATTTTCTTTATTTTTCTTGAGGTTTTTTTTTTTTGGTCCATGTTTTCTTTCACAGCATGACTAATATGGAAATATTTTGCATGACTACATATGTATAGCCTATATTGAATTGTTTGCCTTCCCAATGAAGAGGGGTGAGGAGGAAGGGAGAGAATTTGGAACTCAATGTTTTAAAAATGAATGTTAAAATTGTTTTCACATGTAATTGGGGAAAAATAAAATACTAAATAAATTTAAAAAATAAATGCTTGTTGAGTTCTTATCACTCCACTAACGTCCTCTTTCTGCCAATTAACCTACCAATCAATAAACATTTCTTAGGCAGTTCTGGTATGCCAGACATTGTGCTAGGTGCTGGGGATAGAAAGACAAAAATGAGAGAGTCCCTGCCCTCCAGTGGCTTACAGTCTCTAAGGTACCTCATAGCTTTCAGTAGATGATTCTCTGATGCCCTGAGGCAGAGGCAGTGTTGGGTTCCATGCTAATGAGCAAAAAAGACCCAGGGAGCTCAGGTGGGTCAAAGGTGCTCAGACTGAGATACCAGGCCAAAAGCTCCAGGAACACAATGCTGTTAGGAAGATCCTGAGAGGCAACAGGAATAATTTTCCCCCATGTGGGCCAGACGAGTCCTTTCGGATGCCATCTTTGTTGTGGCATGTACAAAGGGGACTAAAGTTTCTCAAAGGCTGTTGCAGCACAAACTCTGACAGGTCATAGCAAGTAGGAATGGATCATGGGTCATAGTTGTGGGGCTGGAAGGAACCTCAACCCCCCTCATTCTGCAGATGAGGAAACTGAGCTCAAGGTTACGTAAAGTAGTAAGGGGAAGGGAACATTTTGAACCCAGATCCTCTGAATCCTATGCCATTCCTGTGAGCTAAGTAGGACGCAGATTATCATCTACGTTTTTCAGGTAAGGAAATTGATCTTCAGAGGAATTTAAGTGATTTTCCTAGTCTAGGTCAATTGCAGAACTGGGGCTGGGACCCAGCCTGTGGACTTCCAGTTCAGTGTTCCTTCCACTTTGTTAACGAGAGAGACGGGTGCTGCAAAAGCGGAAGCCAAAGACCTGACTAATGGGATGTGCACATGACTTTGGGGTGGGCATGATTAAGAAAAACAGACTGTTTGATGACCCCAAAGAGCTGAGGAACGGAAACATTATGAGCAGATTGAATGGCAACGAAGAAATTAAAGAGAAAAAAAAATTAGTTCCTAGAGTGCAAGTTAAAAGGAGAAGCAGTCTCAACAGGAGTTGTAGTAAATCAGTTAGATGGAAAATAAAAATGGATTCTTTATATCATGGAGAGAAATGAGAAGGAGACAAAAGCACATCTAAATACCTGGAAGATGATGTCATGACTATGTGAAAAGAAAGAGAGGAAGCTATTCAAGGGAGACTCACTGGGAAAGTTGCTGAATTCAGAAAAAAATTTTTTCTTTCATAAGTACAAGATGGAAGATGTATGATTATTTAGCAATGTGTTGAAAGAAGATCTTGGGTTTGAGTGGACCACAAGCTCAACATAAGTAAGCAGTGTGATCTTGGGCTACTTCAGAGGGGCATAGGTTCCAGATATA